AAGTCCGAATATGGACGAATGAATATCGTATATTCTCGAATATCGCGGGCGTACCATCAATCGCATCGTAAAACAAAGGCATATAAAAATACACTAAACAGAATGAATAGAATAGAGTCAATGTTCACCACATCCACCACACGTTGAATGAGCGTGCGGGTGTTTATAGTCTCTAATAGGTTGGAACCTCAAACGTACAGATCTTCTCATTACGGTAAGTGTTGATTCCACCTGTGAATCAACGGTGAACAGGGGGAACTTCCCTTGTTTTCTTACTACTCGTGAGTAACATGACTTACACCTGTTTCTTATGACACGGTTTCGTTTTCTTGGTGCTGGTTTTCCTCCCGTTTCTTTCCTACTTAAGGTCTGCTTTCCTCTCAGTAACTGATGCTAGTATTTTGTTGCCCGTGTGTCATTGCCCGCAAGTTCGTCTCGATTGTACCTATGTTTGAGCGCCCACTCCAATGGTAAAGCCGACTGGGTACAGAAACCGGACCCTGCGGACGGCAGGCAAAAGCGCTACCAAATTCACCGACCTGACGCCCGGAGGGGCTGATTATTTTGTATTACCCATGTATCACGCCTGCCAGATAGCGTTTGCTGAGCTCTCTTTTTAAACGGACGAAGCCGCGCAATGTGACCTGTCACGCAACACGAGCGGCTGCGTCGACGCCAACCGAAAGACAGTCCCTCACATTCCGAACGTACTGACACCTGCGCCGTCACGGCTACCTCACACTGTCAGACTGCCCCTATATGTATGTTCGTACATTGTGTGGTACTTACTTGTTGTTGCCCCTGTAGAAGTCCGTGCTGCGTCAGTGACTATTTCCCACTCCTGCTGATTGCGTCATTGTTGATTGTACTTTTTCTTAATCCATGATGCCTACTAATCCGTTTGTCTGTAGAACCAGTTCCTGTTAGTCCTCAATATATCATCTGCTGCCCCACGTCTGTCTGCTCCTATTGACTACTGGCTACGAACTGCGTATAATCTAATAGTCGCAATTGTCCTGTGAGATCCTTAACCGTCAGGATCTTACAGTAAGTTATAGTCTTTTCGCGACAAAGACTGCGCGTATTTGATGAACCACAAGGATGGCAAAACCAATCGCTAGATTTTTCAGCAAACTCAAGAGTGTTTTGTTTTGTGAAAAAGGGACCGATTATCACAGAACAGGCAGATATGACTTCCAGAGCACAAATTTAAAGTGTCTGTATTTGCTAATCTTCACTAGCAAACTAAGAAGCATTTTTTCACTTCAAGAGCCGGAACTGATTTTGGGTGGTGTTCTTTTCAGATCCATGATAGCATGTACGAAGTGACGGATATAAGAAACCATGAATAATTGTAGTTGGTTGTATAATTCACGTTCGAATCACTCATTTGAGCAGTCATTCTCCTGACCGTTCTTTGACAAGTCTCCTCTTCGATGAGGGCTCACCAGAATAATTGTGCCGGGACAGGATGGCGACTGTTCAGATGGGATTACTGTGGATGTAAATTATGATCGATGTTTAGCTAGAGCAAAGAAATATTTATTCTAATAATGTATTTTGCAGGTTGGCTCAAAATAGACGCTAGAAGATGCCTTGTTACGCCAGCGGTTGATAACCTAATCCGCCTGACACACTTGTATTGCTCCATATCTATCTGGCACCTGATCTCGTTGACCTGCAATTTAGCTTCCGTACGTCTGCCTTTATTGGACTTAATGTATCCCAGTCAGGCAGGAACGATTGCAGTGATCGGTCACTGTGAACGAAACAGAGATCAGGCACGTCCGATAATTAGTAGGACAGTGATCATGCACTTTACCAGTCAGCATCAATAGTAACCGTTCAATACACTGGAGTATCCACCATGCGTAGGGCATACTGAAAGGCGCTGTTTCGGTAATACAGGAGTTCGGGATGTACAAAGCAATATTCTGTAGTTTGGTCAGGTCTACTCGGGTTCATAGGAAAGCATGCCTGATAAGTACATCCTGTTGACAAAAAGAATTTATTGATAGCCAGGTATACCTACTGAAATAATGCATAAAGCTGACGTTAAAAATAGCAAGGGTAGCAACTTAACAAAGTGACACTGAAGGTGATTATGTTGTAATGGATATAATAGAGCGGTCAGTATTACACGAATCACAATAGAGCTTTCTCGTTGAATTCATTTTGACAAAGCTTCGCAGTCTTTAGAATCAGCAAACAGAAAAGATTGATCCAAATAGCAAGTTGAACGAATTTAGCTCTTCTCAAAGCTATTTTGAGTCATCACCAAACTTCTTCCTGCATCATTTCCGGGTTCTTCAAATTCAACTCGACGATACGCAGAATAACTGACAATGAAGAACACCAGGGCATGAAATCCGACTATAAAGAGCCCCAGTAAGTTTCCTAAAACCTCTTCACTCTGAAGTTCCTTGTACCTGAGGTAGCAAAGTGGGTAAACGAAAGAAGAAGTGAAAAATGAGACCCTGTTCACCTTAAAACGTACTTAATCTAAACGAAAAAACTTGCTCCGCTAGTGTGCTTCTGAATGAAAAATTGGGGGACGAAGGTTATACGGGCTAGCCAGAAGGTGCGTCAGGATCTCGATGTTGTGATGAAAAAGTACGTTCCCTTCCTCTTGAACGCTAGTGACGTAATCGGACACAATATTTGGCTAAATATGGAAGTATTCTCTTAGACTTGTTCATGACAATGAACGAGAAATTCTCCTACTCTCATCTAGTTGTGAAAAACCTCGATCAATGAACATAAGTTTTGCTCAAAAACAGCTGTTGGATAGTGTTCTGCGAACGACGATTTGGTGTACTCCAGCCCCTGATTCTTCCTCATGCCAAATGGGATTTTATTCGCTCTTTCCATATATACATCATATCATGAATGTATGTTTCATTGCATGGCATGCCATACTATTATGTGAATAATGCACTTTGTGGCCTCTGTTTTATTTCCGTCCAGACACCTTGTGTTGATCGAGAAAGTTGGTGATGGTAGAATAGACAACTATCGTTACTATTTCTGGGCCTTCTGTGTCGATTCGTCGGATCAAAATATAAACGTCTCCCAACAGCATTTAAGGATTTTCCCTTTGTTTCAGAGAACCGTCTAAGTGCAATATTCAGTGAATAACCTACGTAAGAACAAACATTTTCTTTACCTTCTGCTTAACGAAAATCGTCAGTCGTGGGTATTCGTGACATTGAATTAAAATGTACAGTCTAGTGGCGTCTTTGACTAGTTATTAACACTCATGCCTCCTGTGAAACTACCTAAAGATATGGTCCCTAGTTCAGATGATATATTTGATTTTCATTTTGCAAGATGAACTCACAGGTCATTCCTGTTCTGCTTGCTGGAGGTTAAGGAAATCTCAAGTTGACATTAAGGTGTGCACCGACTTTGAAGCATCTTAAGCAGTGATAAACAACTCGTTTCGGCTAGGTAGAATTATACCTTGGGGCACTTATCTCAAATAAGCGAAAGAAATGCCTATAAATACGCATTCACAGGAGTGTTAGCTGGTTGTTCGCCTTCCAAGATGGCATCCACGTGCCCCTTCCTACCTTTGGCTGCGAACGGAGAGATTCGGTACTTAAGTGATGTGACTGAAGTTCATTCTGTCAGTTTCGATTCAGACTGTCCGACTGATTGCTGAAGGTTTACAAATCGTTTAATAACTCTTGCAAGTTGATTGTGCACGTAGGATAAGAGTGTTATTGAAGACTTATGAAAGTCCCAAAGTGAGTTACCAACACCGCCACCGTTCTCACTGAAATTACCACATCCGTTTCTAGCCGAACCCAACAGTAACGTTTTAGTCCTCCAACGACGCCTGTTTTCAGTCCTCCCGATTATTGGTAGGGAAATATATGAAAAACAAGGTAAGAGAAACTAGTGTCCAGGCGGGAATTCAGTCACATGAACGCGCAGACTGCGATTCCACCATCATCATCATCATCGACAGCACGACATCAGTGTCCAACACCGATGCTTCATTGCCGTACAACCATGACTTATTTGAAAGCCGTATTGTAAAGAAAAGAGTAAAGGTGGACGGGGGAGAGATTTAATGCTAGCTTAACACAATCATTCCGAGGTTCCTACACCTCCAGACATTCACTCAGGCAATCTGGATAGAAACTGACAACAAGAACGCCACTGACATCGGTTGGCAGCCATATCTTGTAGTGTCTCCAACCAGGCACAGTGAGCATCACGCGGTCCCCATCCTGGAAGGCGAGTAGCACCGACAGCACCCAAGCGTTTCGTGATCTCCTTCATACTCCTCTGCCAGGTCATGGGTTGGCCACCTCTCTGTTTACGCCACTCCGAATTGAGCATGGAAAACAGTACTCTCTTCGGCAAACGAT